TTATTTATTTAATTTTATTAATATTATATTATATTGTTATATATTATATTTTTATATTTAAATAAAAAACGCGTTTATTAAATGCGTTTTTATATAAAATAAATCTAAAATATTTTTTCGATATAGTACATTTTCAATCATTACGCATGCATGCGTAACATACCCCAATTATACCTTCTGAGGTGAAGCAAATGGAGCGTAATCCATGGAGTATGCTCCAATGCGATGCGAACATCTAGTCGCCATATTGGTTCCGGTGGCGCGAACATATTAGAACGTGTTGAGCATATTGGAGCGTGCGACGCGAATAAACCTTCAGTTAAAATGGATATCTAGGGGATGTACTTTTATCAATGTATGAGAACTGTGAGATTCCACAGACGTCTTAAGGTGCCTTTTCATGCTAACGCTCAACGCTCATTTTCAAATAGATCATATAATCCAAATTGATGCTTGATATTTGATAATTTTTATCACGTGACTTATTTTAACGCCGAAAATGACCGTCGAGCGTTAGCATGAAAAGCACCTTTAGGCCGGAATCAGACTACGCATTGAAATTTGACCAATGAAAATAAAGGAATTTTAGCTCTTATTTTAATTGGTCAAATTTTAATCTTTCAATCTTTAATGTGTAGTCCGACCTGAATTCTCGACATCCGTGGATATCCAAGGAACTGTAGAATTTGGACGTTAAAGACAATAGACACAGACCATAGTAGGATTACATGGTGTGTTCAGTTTGCAAGCGTCTCTCTCTTTCTCTCTCTAAAATTAGCGCTCTCTGTTGTTTCTCTGCTTCTCGCAAGGCCTACAACTGTGAAGCGCGAAACATGGGGCAGTATTCATAGTCCGTTTTTATTTTAAAACCATCTTAAATATAATGTCTTCAGATGTTAATACAATCCTCGGATTGACTTACGATATCTTAAGATTGACTTAAGACAGTCTTAAATGTAAGAATCGACTATGAATATCTCTCTGTTTTGCATCATGAAGTTGGTACTGAATCTTTTCTTGCACGAGGACTTACAACTTATCATTTCAGGTAATTATTTAGAATTTAGAATATCCCCATTACTTCAAATCTTAATAAAAATGTACTTATTGTATGTACTCATTATAAATATACTTCACATTTTTTGCAAATATAGCAGACTTTTTCGACTTCGAATTCTTTGCTGCTCGTTGTTCGTTCGGTTGAACTTCAATAAGATGCGGCAAAAGTATTTTGCGTCGGAAGTGCGTCATTTCATGTAAAAGTTTTAATAGTTACGAATTACTGCCTCAGCGTGCTGCGTATGAAGTCAGGTTTATTCTTCGTCTTTTTCTAATCTTTAGAATTAGAAAAAGACGAAGAGTAAATTGAATCAAGATTAAAATTAATCTACATTGGTGGAAACGGGCATAAAAGGCTACTAATACAGAAATTTTGTCTGCGGTAGCTTAAACTTTTACGTGCAATTTTAGCTCTACTTGCAAAATTCTGAAAATTGTGGCGTTTTTTTTAGGTCAACTTGCACATTTGATGAATTTTGGGGTTTTTTTGGTGAATTTTCAAACAGGGATTTATTATTTTTTACTCGTGGCAATCCTGAAAAGCCATACAAGCGAAATATTCGTTTTGCCGGGCTTTTGATACAATCCTTTATATCACATCATGTCACGTTGTACTGCTTCATGGCTTTTTTAGGATTTATCAATTCTTTTAACATTGGTTTTGTTTGACTTTACTGAAGCCAATTATGCCGAAAGTAAATACAATACTTAATTATTTCACATCGCCGAAACCTATCAAAAAGGTAGAAACGGCAAAGCAAGAACGAGAGAAATCGCAAACTCCTAAGAGAGATGTAAAGAACAAAGGTTTGTAAAAACGGTTTGATTGAAAATATATTGCTTTAAATATGTATGGAGATAAAATTGATTGTCTCATATATATATATATATATATATATATATATATATATAAAATACATATGCACAATGCTTTTCATTACTGTGATACATATCAAATGGCAATTATGTAGCTGATATTCTCTTGCATATAGTTCTAATCACAATTCTCTACTTGCCATAAAGATTTATGTATAATAATTAGAACTAGCAAAGCATTCACATAATTTATTAACTATTTGAATTATTTTATTTTACTTTATTTGTAACTTAAATTATTAAGGATCAGTTTTTTCACCTTTTGATAAATTTTACCTGTGAGATAAATCTGGCAATCTACGCATGTGATTGGATAATCTTTCTACTTATCCGACAGGTAAAATTTATCAATAGGTGGAACAACCGACCTTAATGCTATTATTCTTGTAATTTTATATACAGGGTTCCTGAATTTAAATAGCCAAACTTCGTAAGCATATAGGAAATACAATACTGATAAAGAATGAAAAAAGTCCTTTAGAGATATGCATGTTTTTACTCTATTTTGGTAAAAATCATGAAAAAAGACAAAACGTTATTTTCATTTTTATATTTATTTGTTACTTATTGTTACTTATTCGTTTACATTTATTTATTCATGTTGTCACCTTCTTAATATAGATATTGTTCAAAATGTTGGCCTCTTGCAGCAATTTACAAGCATTGCATTTAGTTTGGACAGTTTGTGTTGCAGCCAAACTGATCTGGTAACATTTTATGTACTGCAGTCACAAAATTCAAAATACTATTATTTTCGTGTACAACTTCAGTGATAATACTTCAGAGGCAATGCAAGAGTATACGCACTGATTTCCAGATAGAAGAGTGCTAGATTAACGAGTCATTATGTTGATCAGATCAGTGTTTGGCTGCAACACAAGCTGTCCATACAAGATGCTCACATTGCTGCAAAAGGCTAACATTTTTAACAATATCCGTATTAAGTACGTGACAACAAAAATAAATAAATAACGAGAATAAATAAGTATGAATGAATAATTAAATTCAAAAATTAAGAACTATATTTTGTTTTTTTTTGCGATTTTCTTCAAAGCAAAAAGCATATCTCTTAAAACTTTTTTTGTTAGTTCATCAATCCCCTACATACTCTCAAAGCTTAGTCATTCAAATTTGGAGCACTATGTATATATGTATATATATATATATATATATATATTGTGCTACATTTGTATATAGGATTTGTAAGGAATGGAAAAGAAAACCAGAATACCGATGATAAGAAAAGATCATATAAAAAGGATACTGAGGAAGAAGAAGATGAACCAATAAAGCCTAAAAGACGGCGTCTTATTATTCCTGATGTTGACTCTGATGAAGATTCTGGAGATGAATTCAAACCAGGTTAGTTGATCGCACAAGTAATATTCCTTATCATAATTTTAAGCTAAGAAGATAGCAGGAAGAGCAATATTACATATTCATTATTCTATATATATTATAAGTTCTGAATCTGAAGAATCTGAATCAGTTTCTGAAGGAGACACAGAGCAAGAATCTTCAACAGGAACAGAGGAGGAAACACCAGAGGTAGAAACAATATATTTCGAACTAATATTAATATCGCCATGATAAAAGTTGTATCTAATATGAATATATTTTTCTTTTCAGAAAAAAAGGAAGACATCCAGTGTTAAATTCAAGTCGAAGCAAGCAAGTTCTCGTAATACAAAGACAGTAAATGTATATTTATAATTATTATAATTAATTTCTTTTATCTTATTTCTGTATAATTCTTTAGCTATTCAAAATAATTGTCACATACTGCTATTAC